GTCAGCGCTGAAGCAGTCCTTTCATGAGCGGGGGGAGCTGAGCCCAGATGGTCTGCATTAGGACGCCTCTCTCGCCTTTATCTTGTGGGGGACGTGCGAAGGAAAGGTTGTGTTTTTCCCCTGCTGGCAGAGCAGAAGGGCAGGGAGGTTAGGAGGGAACACAAAGCCTCCTTCTTTGCTTGCTGGCTCCCATCTGGGGATGCTCCTGGAATCCACGCTCTGCACTTCCTCCCTTCCTGTGCGAGGAGCCCGCCCGGCATGTACAGGAACTTGGGCCCAGCTCCGGTTTCCGAGCTCTCAGATCATTCGGCGGGGGAGGATGCGCTTCGGTGCTGGCTCACATGCTAGTTCGCCAGGGTGCGGGGCCACACCTGCCCCTCTGGCATCCCAATGCCAAGATGCAACTCTCCGTCTGGCACAGGGGACCATTCACACTGTGCTCTGGCTGGGAGCAGAGCCAACCACCAAAGAGATCAGGCACCTCTGGGTCCAACAAAAACTAGCCCAGGGCAGGGCTGCAGCAGTTACAGGCTGAATGAAGAAATCCTGAGTCCAAGACAGTGACAAGCTTGTAGGGCCAGTTCAGACAGCAGTGCTCAACACATTGGACAGGCCTTTCCCCTCGGAGGTCACGGAAAAGAAACTCAAACAGAGCAGCGATGCTACAAGAGTAAGGGATTTTGCAGACACGCTCTCCAGGCCCCCTGCATCAGGACTGGGCAACTCAGAGGAGGGGGGGGATTCCCAGCAGCAACTGCAGAGCATTCCTGGGCAGCTGGCACAGGGGATCCCAAGCAGTGTTTGGCTACGCCTTACAGGGACACGGTACGTTCAGGTGGGGAGAATGCACAGAAGGGCCAGAAATCCAGAGCAGCTGTTCCAGAGATGAGATCTACAACTGCCAGTAAGCGGTGGCTGCACAGTCCTGGGGAGTCCAGACAGGAGCACTAGCTTTACAGGAACAAGGACAGCTCAAGCCCCAAGGCCTGACACTCTCGAAAGGGTCTGCCAGTGTTGCCAGCAACGGGGAACCCACCACAGCAATGCTGCCCCAGGGCAGGACAAGCTCTACAGAGCAGCTCCACAGCAGTAGGGTTTAGGGTAGAAACCCTGCAGGATCATGGCCCCCAGGCAGTCACGCAGCAGCTCGGAGCCAGGGCAGGAGTCTCAGCGAAGGGAGAGGATGCAGCAGAGCAAGGTCCAAGGCAGTGGTTTTGTAGGAGGCGCAGAGCAGGGGTGCAGTGTGTGCATCTCACAGCAGTACAGGGTCCAGAGCAGCCACCTCACAGCAGCACAAGCAGGGGCCTTACATGTGTGCAGGACCAGGCTGTCTCTCCAGCCTCTCAGCCCTGCCCCCAAGGTGAAAAGCAGGTAGGGTCTAACCCCAGCAGAGATCTTACTGCCATCCAGAAACAAGAACTACGTGTCACTCTCCTGCACAGTCCCAGTACCAGGCTCTGCAGCGCGCAAGCCCCTATTCCAAGTGGTTGGTCTTTGGCCTTGACTCACACATACTCAGTCTCCTCCCAGGGGAGGCTGAGCTCAGACACCCAGTGCTGTCAGCGACCCTGAGCTGGTGATCTTCTTGAACCGGTTGGCAGCACACACACCAATGAAGTTTTTCTGTAAAAGGAAAAGAAGAGATGCTAGTCTGACAGCAAAGGCCACAGATCTTGAGGCAGAACCAGACAGATTCTTAGAGCTGGTTCAGGAGCTGAGCTGCAGAGCTGGCAGCTCCTCCGCCTGGTAAAGCTGCTTTCACCACATGAAATAAAGCCCTCAAGGCCCTGACAGCGACCCTGGCACCAGCTCAGCCCCGTCTCATGGGAGGGAAGCGCAGGGTAGGGGGAAGGCACACAGTCAGTGCCAGGGATCAGCCAGCCCCACACTCAGAGGGGCACAGCCCTGGGAGCATCCCTTTCACTTCTGCCTTAAAAAGGCGCCTTTGAGATCAGTTTGGAGGGGGACAACAATGAATCTCTGTTTAAGGGGAACCCACATTTGGGGCCCCCAAGCAAGGTCAGGGCCCATGGTGCTGGGGAGCCATTCCTCCAGGCTCAGATGTCCCTAAAGCCTTGCCCACAGCTGACAGCAGGACAGCAAGACAGACCTACCCTCCCCAAATTCTGCCCTGCCAGAATGAGCAGAGGCTGGCAGCACCTCTCCACCAGCTCTCCCAGACAGTATTGACGGTGGAAGGCCTTGACTGTCCTCCTCCCTCCTGCCCCACAGCCAGTGCTCAGGGAGCCCCCACGCACCTTCCAGCGCCTCCGCATGACATATTTCTTGAGCAGCACCTGGGACTTGAGGCGGCGGTTGCAGCGCTTGGCCTTTTCTGCCAGGTTGTTGAGCCATGGATGCTTCAGGCACTGGCCAGCGCTCATTCGGGCACTGAGAGCAAGAGGAAAGCAGGTCACTGTGTTCCTTGCCCTGGGCATGGGGGGCTACCCTGACAGAGAGCTGGGGTGAGCACCCTCTCCCTGCAGCCCTCAGGAGCCACTTTCCCCCTAGACCAACCCCTTCTTCAACTGTCCAAGAGCTGCAGGTCCCCAGAAACCTTCCAGTGTCAGGACCACCCTGGACAATCAGTTCTTATTGCCCACAAACCCCTAGAAGATGTGCCCAGGGGTTTAAGGGACCTTGCTGGTCCCAGTGTGGGTACAGACGACAGGTATTTGGTACACACGGGCTGGTCGAAGCGAGCACACAGATCTGGCGACACCTGCCCTCTGCCCCACCGTGACCTCTGCAAGCCTCAAACCTTTTCTGTTTGATAATGAGGTTTGAGACGAAGTCCTTGGCCTCCTCAGAGACACTCTCGAAGGTCTCTTCGTCGAAGTACCACTCGGCAGCCAGGACGTTGTTGAGCGTCTCGGTGTCATTGTCGCCCAAGAAAGGGGAGAGGCCACTGAGCCTAGGAGAGTGGAGAGGGCTGGGTGAGAAGCCAGGTGCCTTCAGATTGGGGGCACTGCACAGCCTGATTTCTCAGCCCCTTCCAAACTGCTCCTCTACAAAACAAACCTTGCTGCGGCTGTCTCGCACCCTACGGGTCAAAGGGAGCCAGGCGGGGCAGCCGGCGCCGGGAGAAAGGACACAGTGTCTGGCTGCTGGCACCTTGCTGCACTCCCGCCCGCGGCTGGCAGAGCTGAGCCATTTCCTGTCTGCACACACGCGCCCAGACACTCCCAGGCACCCGGCCCCGCTCACTGCCCCCCTCCTGGCCTCCCAGCCCTGCAGCAAACAGCCCCAGGTGCCCATCTCCTCACAGAGCAGTCCAGCACCCTCCACCAGCACCCTCCGCTGGCTCACTGAGCTGCAGGGTGCTCTTGGGCACGCATGAGGTTTGGAGACTTGCTCCACACTGGGCAGAGGCAGCAGCCGAGCAGCAGCTCTGCCCCGGTGCCCTGAAAGGGTGCTGCGAGCTGCTGCCCCACACCCCCTCACATACAGCATGTAAGTGATGACGCCCATGCTCCACATGTCCGTGGCATAGGAGACCTGCTCGTAGTTCACCACCTCAGGAGACAGGAATTCGGGGGTGCCAAAGTTCACTTTCAGCTTTTCCTGAGGGTTGTACCTGCAGTCAGGGTGGCAAGTCAGCAGTTTTTTCCCCCAGCCACTGCCCCCTCCAGCCACCCTCCACCCCTCCGGGAAAGGCCGAGCCTGCTCCCGTCAGGCGCTCTGTGCCTCTCCAACCCTCCTGGCTTGGCCCTGCTCCCTTCTGCGTCAGCCAGAGATAACCTGTTATTACAGTGCTCCCAAACCACTGTCCCCTGCGGTGCACAGGCCATCACGCAGCACGGCGGCCAAAGCCACTCGCAGACAGAAGGCTCCAGCACTCCTGGCCCCACCACAGCTCCTTCCTCCCCACAGGGCTGGGGCAGCGCCTGTGCCCACGCATGCCAGTGAGAGGGCAAGCAGGAAAAAAGGACAGGAGTAGGAGGGAAAGGAGGAAGAGAAGCTGAGGAGAGAGGGAGAACAAGGAGGAGAGCAGATACCTTCGAGCCAGCCCAAAGTCGATGATCTTCACCATGTGCCCAGTTGCAGCAACGCAGAGGATGTTTTCAGGCTGTAGGGACAGGAAACCCACTGGTTAGAACCCAGCTCCTCACCTGCTGCAGCCCATCTGCAGAAAGGATATTTCTTACAGTGAAGATGGGACGTCCCCAGTATGGAAGATGCACATGGATTTGGTGGCCCATGTATCACAGGGTCCTGCAGAGGAACTGAAGGGGCAGGACAACAGGTCTCTCCGACCGGCACCAGAGCAGCATCGATTTGCAGGAAACCCTCCTGCAGCTCCCTGCAAGGTCATTGCCCTGGGGCTGGCTGGTGTCAAGGAGATGCTACCCCAGGCTGCCCTGCCAGGAGCTGCAGGGCTTGGGCCAGCACGCAGAGCGGCAGGCAGGCTGCCCACAGGCTGTCTCTGTCTCAGTAGCTGCAAACAACAGCTGCCTCCCTTGCCTGCACCTTTGCACCCCTCCCTCTCCCAGACCCTTAGGCAGAGGCCAGCCCCAGCAGTTATTCTCTGCAAAGACTGCAGGCTCTGGGCTCAGATCACACAACACTCCTTTCTGGGCTGGCCCATCCTCCCCCAAGCAGGAGACAGGGCTGCAGGGTGCAGGGTGCTGAGGAAAGCTGGGTGCCCCACACAGAGCCCCTTTTGCAGGACGCCACCAGATGCCCCAACCCAGCTACAGAGCCGGGGCCAGCACCAGTGAGCTGGTCTTGGAGATCAGGAGCAGCTGCCACTGAGGCAGAGCTGCCCCCTCTGCTCTTGGCCCTAGTGCTGAGCACCTTGGAGGAGGGCAGCGGTGACTGCTTCCCAGGGCCACCCAGCCCCAGCTCCGCACCTTGAGGTCGAGGTGGAGGACGCGCATGTGATGCATGAAGCGGATCCCCTCGCAGATCTGCCTCACAAACACCATGCAGTCCACTTCTGTCAGGTGGTAGTCATCGTCGATGATCCGCTCAAAGAGCTCGCCACCCTCCACGCTGCACGAGGATGGATCATGGGGTCACCTGGTCTCCCCCCACCTCCTGCCCCAAACACTCCTCTCCAATCCCCCCCTGCCACCTGCCCAGCACAGCTCATGGCCCTTCCCAGACAGCAGAGCTGTGAAGAGGCTCACGGAGAGAATGCCCCTCAGCAGCAAGCAGGAGCTAGCATGGGCAGAACCAAGGTGGAGCGCATGCATGCCAGGGCTGGATACCGCCTTCCCACGGAGAAGGCAGGGTGAGTTATCCTGGGACACCCCAGCTCCCCAGAGCAGAGGTGGGTGACACAGGCCCAGCCCCACCGGGTACAAGCAGTAAGGAGAGCAGGAGCTGTGCAGGAAGGACCCTAGATAGGGACTTGGGTCATCCTCTGCTTTGAGCACAGCTACAGCCAAGGGAGAGACTGTCCTGGGCAAGGCACACCCAGAGACCTGCCTCTGGCCTGTGAGCAAGATGGGGGTAGGTGTCCTAGAGGGGACAGGCAAGGCCTGAGGGAACGTCTCCTGGGGCTGACTGCTTCCGCTGGGTAAGATGGGCCAGAAGGTCTGCTCCCACCTCCAGAGATGGCACAGCCCCTCTGCGACGGTCCCCCTCGTGCAGGCATCAGGCCCAGCCCCTGACCTGCACCCCAGCACTACTCTAGCACTCACAACTCCATGAAGAGGATGATTTCTCGAGGCGTCTCAATGGCATCGTAGAGCTGGATCAGGTTCCGGTGGTTCAGCTGGTTCATCACGTCAATCTCCAGCATCACCATTTCCTGCAGAGCGAGACACACAGCAGCACAGAAGGTACATCAGACCTTGGCCAAGCCACCAGTACAAGGACAAGCCCTGTCACAGCCCTGAGGCCACACCAATCACCACGTGCATGCAAGGGCCAGACATTGCCACGTGCTGACATGAATGAGGTGGCATGTGACAATGTGGGCAAGAGGAATCCCCCCAGGCAGAGCATGCTCAGACCCCCTCTCCCGCTGCACTTCAGTCACACCTTGTCTTTGGCACCCTGTTTCCGGATGACTTTGGCAGCCAGCTTGAGTCCTGTCTCTTTCTCTGTGCATGTGTGGACTTCGCCAAATTTGCCCCTGTGGAAAGGGAAAGGCAGATACCGTTGGTGGCTGTCCAGGTTCCCAGGGACCCCCAAACTGTTCCAACTCCCTACACAAGTTCGGGGGAAGCTGGTTCTGTGTGCTGCTGGCTTTTCTTAGCGTGCTGTTCTCCACTCTCCTTAGCACCCATCCTTCCCAAGGCTGCAGGGAAGGACCCCAACACCTTCACTCCACAACCAGAAAAGTCCCATCAACCTGGGGTACTTCTGCTGGGAGGTAGGGCTCTGCCACTCATCTGCCCCAGCCAACACTGGCCACCAGGTAGGAGCCAGCTCTTATTCTCACTGTCCAGCGTGCTTAGCCTTGTACCAAGGGCAGGGGAAAGCACTCCAAAACCAGGTGATAGAGGGTTTCACAAGGATCTCCCACCCCACTGGGGCCCCTTTACTCCCAGAGTCAAGAACACAGAGCTATTGCCAGCTCAGTAGCAGGGCCAGGGGAAAAACCCAAGCGTCCTGCACCTCAGCCCTCCCCACAACCCCAGGGTCCCCTTCTTACCCTCCCAGGATCTCCTTGGTGCTGAGGTTGAACCGGGTGCTCACATTGGCAGATCGCAGGGTGACAATGCGGTGTGCAAAGGGTGCAGGTGGTGGAGGGACATCATCTGTAGAGAGGGAGATGGGCTGAAGGGTGGCTGGGGACCCCAAGGGGTGGCTGGGATCCTCAGGACAACTGGGGACCTGGCCCCGTGCAAGGGTGAAGGCTGGCACCTAGCGGCACAGCTCAGTCAGTGCTTGGGCCCAGCCCACGAGCACAGGATGCTGCCAAGCGTGAAGCCTGGCCCTAAATCAGGGCCTCCCCTGCCTGACAGCAGCTCTGCTGTCACCTTCAGGATCCTGCTGCACTGCTATGGCCTGCTCTGTACTGCTTGTCACCACGTATGCTGCCACCCTGCTGCACGTCCTGCTCACCCTCTCCAGGCCACCATCCTGCACTGTTGTGCTCAACCCCTCCACGCTGCCTTGCTATGCATCACGCTTGCTCCCTTCATGCCACCATCCTGCATGGCATGCTTAACCCCTCCATGCTGCCCTGCTGGGCATCACAATCACCCTCTCCGTGCCACCATCCTGTGTGTCACATTCACCCCCTCCGCACTACCATCCTGCATGTCATGTTTGTCCCCTCCATGCCACCATCCTGCATGGCAGCTTACCGCCATCCTGCACATCACACAGCCCTTCCATGCTGCCCTGCTGTGCAACGTGCTCACCCGCTCTGTGCCGCCATCCTGCGTGTCACGTTTGCCCCCTCCATATGGCCCTGCTACCCACTATCCTGGCCCCCTCTGCATCACCATCCTGCATGGCACGCTCGCCCCCTGCGAACACAGCCCCCGTGCGAGGTACACCCTGCGCACCCAGGCCCAGGCTGCCTCTTCCCCACGCTCCATGCGCAGGGACGGCAGGAAGCAGCTCTTACACGAGCCCCACGAGCACCCTCTGCCCAAGAGCTTGGCACAGCCTGCCCTCTTTTTTCGGGACGTGCTGTCCCTTGCCACCCAGCCATGTGGTGGCTGTCACACCTGCTGTCACAGGGACAGGCTCCTCTTCCTCCCCAGCAGCCCTGAGCAGCAAGAAGCGTGCTGTGCTCTAGCTCAGAGAAGCCTGGGGAGTGGACATGACACATTTAGCCCTGTTTACAGTGAAACAGGAGCTCGAAGGCCGCTCAGCAGGCAGCAAGCCAAGAGCCAGTGTCCCGAGAGGGCAGCACAGTCAGCAGGCAGACAGAGCCGGCGTCAGACCCTGGGGCTGCTGAGGGTAGAGGCAGTGGGTCCCAGGGTGCCAGCACCTGCCAGACTGAGGGCAAGGTAGGGATCACATTTCTGGAAGGCGACACGGCCTTACCCAGTATCTCAAAAGGGTCTTCCTTCCCAAAGTCGGGGGTGAGATAAGGGCTAGGTGGTGGCTCTGCCTCTGGCAAGGGGAGCTGCCCCTGGGCCTCGGGGCCTGGCGCCTCCACACCCCCAGGAGCAGAGGCAGGGGCCCCTGCAGGGCTCGTGTCCAAACCAGACTGGGGTTGTCCTGCAGCGCTGGCAGGCTCTGGCAATGTCCTCTCCTCTTGAGTGCCAGCACTCCCCAGGGCAGGGCCAGGCTCAGCTGTGGGGACAGACTGTTCTGGAGGCTGCAGGTCTCCCAGGGCCATCGGGGCAGGGCCAGGCTCTGTGGCAGATGCTGCTAGACTTTCTTTTGCCTGCGCTGCTGTGGTCTCCTCCGGTATCATCTCCATCACAGTTGCCTCCACCCAGGGCTGCTCTTCCCTAAAAGCAGAAGGAGCAGGTGAGAGCAGGGCCCAGCTGAGCCCAGCAGAGGCGAGCTCCAGAGCAGCACCCAGCACCCGCCCCCACCTCTGCCCAGAGGACCCCAGGCACTAGGACAAGGGGAGTAGCGAGGGGAGAGAACCTCGTCCTGGGAGGATGCCAACTGTCTGGGCAGTCACTCTGGGGACAGTTTCCCAGGGGAGGACGAGCAGCACGCACAGGTACCTTTGGCAGGAGGCTGGGCAGCTCAGGCTCTGCTGCAGAACTGGACGCACTAGCTCAGGCTTGTCAGCCTCTTTCTCCGCCTTTGCTGCTTTCTTCCCTCCATCCTGTGCCTTTGCAGCAGTTGGGGCTTTGTCCTTTGCAGCTTTCTTCCCTCCATCCTGAGCCTTTGCTGCAGCTGGGGCCTTGTCCTTTGCAGGGTCTTTCCCTCTATCCTGAGCCTTTGTTACAGTCGGGGCTTTCTCTGCCTTTGCAGCTTTCTTCTCTCCATCCTGCGCTTTTTTAGCAGCTGGGGCTTTCTCCTTTGCAGGCTCTTCCTTCCCTCCATCCTGAGCCTGTGCTGCAGACAAGGCTGTCTCCTCTGCCTTCCCTCCTTCAGCCTTTGCTGCAGCTAGGGCCTTCTCTGCCTTTGGACCTTTCTCATCTCCGTCCTCAGCCTTCACTGCAGCTGAAGCCTTCTGCTCTGTGGGCTCTGCCTTCCCTCCATCCTGAGCCTCTGCTGCAGCCAGGGCCTTCTCCACAGGCTCTACCTTCTTGCCTTCAGGCTCTCCTGCAGCCAGAGCCTCCTCTTTTGCAGGCTTTTCCCTCCCTCTGTCCTGAGCTTCAGCAGCAGCTGGGGCCTTTTGCTCCATGGGCTCTGCCTTCCCTCCTTCAGACCCTCGTGCTGCTGAAGCCTTCTCCTTTGCGGGCTCTTTCTTCCCTCCATCCTGAGCCTCTGCAGCACTTGGGGTCTTCTCTTTTGAAGGCTCTGTTGTCCCTCCTTCAGACTCTTCTGCAGCCACCTTCTTTCCAGGTTCTTTCTTCCCTCCATCCTGACTGTCTGCAGCATCCAGGGCTTTCTCTTTTGTGGGCTTTTCCTTCCCTCCACCACCCTGATCCTCTGCAGCAGCCGGGGCCTTGTCCTCCGCAGGCTCTGTCTTCCCTCCTGCAGGCTCTGCTGGGGCAGGCTGGGCTGCACTGCCCTTTGCTTCAGGTGGGGGCTTTCTACCACTGCCCCTGGTGTCAGGAGCGCTGCCTGGCCCACCGTCCTGCTCCATGGGAAGAGTCCACGGAGCCCTGCAGCCCCTGGCACGTCGCTCCTAGCTTCAGCGAAGCTTCTGCAGGAAAGAGGAGAGAAGGTAACAGTTCCTCCCGCACAGCTCTGCAGGGGCCCAGCTCACCCCCAAAAGGGGCGCATCGGGCCTCAAGCAGCGTTTCTGCACCTGCAGCCCCACATCAGGGCCGTGGTCCCTAAAGAGCAGCGACCTGCTGCCAGCCCGCAGAGAGGCCATCCCTCACTCCCTGCCACCACGCAGGTGCCATCGAGCCGGGCCCCACACAGCTGCCAGTCCCTGTGCTGTCCCATCGTGCCCCTTATCTACAGTGCAGTGACAGACTGATGGTCTGGCACCAGCTCCTGTCATTGCCACGGGGCCTCTGGGCGTGCAAATGGGCAGTGCAGCCACGGTGCCCCCTACGCCAGGGCAGGAGATGTCAGGTCCGGCCTAGGCTGGCCCATGGGGATCAGGCGGGGAGAGCGTCCCCGGGAGCTGCCAGCAGAGCACAGCCCCCCCACCGCTGCTGCATAGGCACGGCGCAGGTCTAGCCCTGCACAGGCAGAGCCTGGTCTGCTTGGAGGCCCCGTGAGCCCCCGGCCCAGCAGCCGCAGCCCTGCTGCTGTCCCCCTGCGCACGCTGCGCTTGCAGATCGCCAGGTCACTGCAGTTCCTGCCCGAGCCGTCCCTGGCCGAGGGCTGCAGGGCCTCAGGCAGCACCCATCAGTGCCCAGATCCTGGTGCAGGCTGCCAGGCCAGCAGCGCCAGCGCAAGCCGCCATCGTGTCTGCTGTGGCCTCAGAGCACCGTTACCCTGTTCCCTGGGCTCCCGCAACCCTACCTCCTGCCCAGCCACCGGACCGGAATAAGCACCAGTCACAGTCCTGAAACACAACTCCTTGCTCAGCCTGTGTGACTGTCCCCAAGGCAGGGAGGGCCCATCCCAAAAAAAACCATGCCAGTAACTATTCTAGTAACAGAGGAGTCTCCTGCTGGTTTTACTGGGACAGGCACTGTTAACGAGAGGCAGAGAGCTGCAGAGAGAGGTTTCCAGCGGAAGGTCTGCTTCCACGTGCGGACTCAGCACAGGGACGCTCGGGCGGGGGGAGCCAGCAGAGCTGGGGAGGCAGCAGCACCCTTGCAAGCAGATGCATTACATTCAGCTCCCTGGATTCAGGGCTTGGGTTTCCCACCCTGGGGCCATACAGAGGTGCTGTGAGCTTGAACACAGGCAGAGCAGGCAGCCATGGGGACCCCACCACCAGCACGCACAGTCCCCCGGTCCCTTACCTGGGGTTTCTGTTGCAGAAGGCAGTCAGAGCTGGTGGGAGGGCAGCATCCGCAGTGTGGAAGCGCCTGGCCAGAGTGGCCCCTTCTATACTGGGTGTAACAGAGCTGGATTAGTGTGGGGAGAGAAGTATCCTTTACACCAGTAGGAGCCGTTCCGCTTCGCCTTTCTCACCACCTGTTGCTGCTGGAGCCCATTCAAAGGACACTCCACTCTTCCCTGTCCTCCTGCCCAGAGGAGCTGGGAACGCAAACAAACAGCAAACAGATGACAGAGCCACCTCCTGTCCCCAGCAAAGTCACCATGCTAGCGGCTCCCGAGCACAGGCCAGAGGGGTAGGGAGGGCTGGCACGAGGCGGGTCTGCGAGGGAGCTCCCCAGAAATGCGCCTCGTGGTGCTCACGCAGAGGCTGGGCTGTCCCTTGCTGCTGGGGCCAGCCAGGCCATAGCCCTGACCTCGCCAGACACAGTCCGAACAGTCAGAGTCAAGTGCTTCCAAGGCACTTGCAGATGCCTCAAGCCAGTCACTAGCCCCCATGAAGAGAGGGAGCCCTGGAGCAGACAGCTACAGTGCTAACTGGGCTGGGACCCTCTCAGACAGATAGAAGCCCAGCACTACTGAGCTGCTGTCAGCTCTGCCCGCCTGCACCAGTCCTTCTGGAGATCGCCGTCTCCAAATGGTCCTTCTCTTGGCCAGAACAACGCAGTGCCCCTTCGGCACGGCCAGCTCTGACGAGTGCTTCTGACCACCCAAAGCAAAAAGCAGAATCAGCTGGGAATCCCAGCATTGGCACGTGTCACCCCCTAGACTGCTGTGGTCTTCCCTGGGAACAAGTTTGAGGGGTCTAATTTGCTGCAAAACTAATTTTGTAGGTTAGGGACACAAGCAAGAGAATTGAGGGTTTCTGCAGGATGGGTCAGGCCATGCCAAAGGTGCACTGTGTGCTGCCAGTTCTCGGCCCCTCACAGCACCGGCTGTCAGAGGCCAAGCAGGCCTGAAACCCTCAGTTTGGTGAGCTGCCCCAGTAGTCAGTGGCATGGAAAACCAGTGGCGGAGAGGGACACAAGGAGCTTAGCAGCACCAAGAGCTGCAGAGGTTGCAAGTGGAGCTGGCCCAGCCTCAGCAGAGCCAGCAAGGGCAGGACTTGGCTACTCTGGCTTTGATCACGGGCCTTTTCACTCCACGTGATGGCTGGCAGAGCCCTGACTAGCACATTCTGCATGGTGAAAGGCAAAACTGTCCCAGCCCCAAATTCGCTCTCTAGGTTTGAAGAAGTCTGAAACAGAAGAGCATTAAGGGGAAGGGAACAGCCTGCTCTCATCACCTGGAGGCGATGAGCAGGACAGGGGACACACACAGTCTCCTAGCACAGCAGTCTTGCCTGAAGCTGATTTATTCCCAGGGCTATCCCAGGTTTCTGCCTTGCTCTCCCACCCAGCAGAGCCACAATGCCACAATTACTCTAAACCTTTGGACTTATGAGCGAAGAAAGCATTGCTCATAAAGGGTACGCAGGCAACGATTTGGTTTCTCAGGTTTCTGCTGGGGGTTGAGGTGGTTATTTGAGGCTTGCAGTAGGAACCCCCAGGTAACTGAACCCAAGCCTCCCCTGCCAGTACTGCTGGGTAAAACGATTCCAATAACACATGCTCTCAAAAACCGAGAACACCAATTTATCACGTACCGGCAGCAGGATCGCTAGCACAGCCAGTGCAGCATGGAGGATGAAGGGCTCAGCCCCTCGCCTGCATCTGTCACTCTTTTGAGAGGGGACAGAGGAGGCCTTGGCTTGGTGATGCACAATAAAACAGCGAGAGCAGCTTGCGATAAGAGAAAGGACATACCACAGGCCACTTCAGGTCAGGCATCTGCTCCCGGAGCTACCCCAGCACGAGTCATGCTCCTGGCCACTTTCCAAATCACTCTGTACCTTGGTCTTCCCAGCTGGGAAGTGGAGCAGCATCACCCTGCTCCTCCATGGCAGGCACCAGAGGTTTCTCGAGGGCCACAGAGTGTGCACTCTCCCGGGAAGACGAGGCAGCAAAAGGCTGAGCAGTGGTGCTTGCTCAGCTGGAGCAGTGCTTTCCCAGGGGCTGGGTCAGGGTTGGCCAGGTGCCTCCGGCAGGGCAGGAGTCAGGGCTGAGATTACCTCAGGGTTCCCCAGCTTGGCCAGGGTTTCCCCAGCTGCACAGCCAGGGCCTTCCTCCCGAGGTCTCTCTCCCGCTGCTGCTTGGAGTTCACAAGCCTTGAGTCATGCCCGACACCAAGCCCCAGCTGCTCCCGGCGCATTGCTTGTACACAGCCTCCCTGAGCAGAGGCCCGAGGGGCAGAGACAATGCACAGCTCTGCACTGCTGCAGAGCTGAGGCTGGCAAACACACGACAGGGAGCTCAGGAGTGGTTCTACCTCGTACAGAGCACCTCCATGGAGAACATGCTACATCCCAGCAGGGCGAGACATGCCAGGGAGGACAGGAAGGGGCTCAGGGCAATTACAGGGCCCAAGCAAAGATACCAGAGCTTCTGCTAAACACTTCCTTCCCACAGGCAGGGAGGCTGGTAATACCCCACTCAAGGAGAGCCTCATTTGAGCAGAGGTTTCTGATCTTGGCACAAAACTGCTGCCAAAACAGGCCTTACAACAAACCTGGACAGGAAGAGGTCCAAGAGAAACCTTTAAAAGGACCTGGACCATCCTCTTTCCTAAGCAGCTGTAATGGAAAACAGGAGGTAAGGTGCGACCTTTGCAACTACAACACTGCCAGCCAGCATCACACCCCAGTACTTAATATAGGAGAGACCAGGGCTGCAGCTAGCCCCACATCAAAGCCCTGCATACCCTGAGGGGGTAGTTTTTAGAGAACCTCTCCTCCAGTGGGTCCAGCCCAGTAGAGAGATTCAAAGCTCATGGTATAGCAGGACAGATTAACACTCAGTACCAGGTTCCTGCAGGCCTCTACTTACCCCAAACAAGCAGTCCAAGCTCTGGGAGATGCAGGTCAGAGCCGATAAGCAGCAGTACTTCTTTGTGTTGTCAAATCCTGGCTCCTAACAAATCATCAGCTTCTGTATGTCAAGTCAAGCTTTGCCTGATGAACTGTGGTTCATGGGTGGCATTCAGTTAAGAGCAAGACAAGCTGGGATCTGTACAAGGCAGTCCTGTATCTCCTGGAGATGCTGCTGTCCTGCCTCTGCCCATCCTTGGGTTGCTGGAGGGAATCACATAGGCCTACAGAGCTTCATGCAGGAATCACCAGCCAGCAGGAAAGACATGAGAGAAGGGCTGCAACTTCTCTTGTTTCTGCAGAAGAGACCACCAGTGAGTAGAGCAAGGAAGAAAAGTTTTCCCCAGTTCCCTACCTCAAAATAAAATATCAGGGAAGAAACAAGTAAATTTACAGTTTCTATGTTAAGTACCTTCCTACCTCCCTGGGACCAGCTGGCAAGTCAGGACCACTCTGATTTATCCCAGGAAGGGCTAAGGAAAGTGAATTTCTGTTCCGAAGTTGCAGGCTGGGTTTCAGAGGGCACACTGAGGTTGTCCCATTCCAGCAGCCCCAAGGCCACAGCAAGGTGCTCAGCACAGAGCCATCACCCTGACAGCATTTGAAGGAAGTGACATTTGGAGGACTAAAACTAGAAGGCCACGTTTTTTTCTATGTCTCTAAATTGGCCTTACTGTGAAGGCTGGGCCCTGGGGTGCCCCTGGCAGGGTCCCTTCCAAGGTCAGTCAAATTTTTTCTTCATGCTCCAGGGAAAAAGAGTATAGGTACAAGCTGGACAAGGTGTTTTTTGCAATAGAGATTTAGGTTTTTTAATATACCTCAGTTACAGCAACTGGGAAGATTTTTTTTTCCCCACTATCAAACAAATAAGTCCTCAAACGTTTCACATGGCAGGTTTGCGACAAGACCTCAGCGTACTTACTGCAGTCTCCCACAGTGACACATTCGAGACATCTTCCTCAGGAGCAGTTGCTGCAGGAACAGCCTGAACAGACCTGGCAAGCAGCTTGCTAGAGGGCTGAGACCACAGCCACGCAGAGGCTCTGAAAGGAAAACAGCAATTAACTCGTGTTCCCCACAGCCAGTTCCACTCAGGCCACAGCAGCAGCACCAGCTACCTTTGTCTCTGACTGCAGGCAGGAGCCAGAGCCCTCAGACAGGTATGCATCTCACACATGGGAGAGAGGCTACTTGTTTCTGATGGCCAGCTGGAAAGCAACAGGAACCAGCTGATACCAGTGTTTTGTCCTGCTCAGAGGATTCCCTCTCCATTGCCTTTGCAAGGAAGGGTGCCTCTCTTTCTTTCTTGCTACTCATCCTTAGGAGCTGCTGCAACCATCTTGCAGTAACTTGCAGCCCTGCTGTGTAAGAAACACAAGAAGCAAAGTTTAAACTAAGGAGAAAGTGAAATTTGTAAAGGAGATATCTCCTTTAACAAACCCAGTAGCTCTGAAAGCAAAACTAGCAAATCCTTAAGCAGTGCTGTGGTAACAGAAGCATCTTAGGTATCTACCACCATAACCACAAACATTTTCTCTAAAGCAGGTAGCCTGGGGCTTTCCAACAGGGTTCATACACTCTTGTTCCATTCTTTGCAGCTCAGATTTGTGGTGCCAGCAAGCCTGGCTCATCTCAAGCTGATGAACTTTCCTCTTAAGAGATTAAAGATAATTAACTGAGAACCAATAAGGTTCACACAGGAGCAAATGCACTGCTTTAACCACCCTATAAACGATGTGACAGAAGTGCTGATACAGTTGTACACGTGTAGAAGTTTGAGCATCACTGGTATCCACGGCTCTCGGGGACTGCGGAATCTCGATTGCGCTCTCAGAGCACAGCCATCATTCGGCCCCTAGCAGCAGTCCTGCGTGCTTGGAGGGCAGAGGCACAAAGATAGCAAAAGCAGAATTTGGCTGTGCTGCTGCTTTCACGCACACTGGCAGGAATAACTTGTGAGACCACACAACTTGGACAGAGGGACTCTGCCCCCTGACTATCATTGCCAATGAACAGTTTAGAATTCTCTCTCCTTTTCTTTCAAGCAAGGACTGCCAGACATCTGGAAGCCACCTCTGTTGCTTCAGCCACGTATTGCCACGTCTTTGCGAGCTTTCTGCTCTCAACAAGCTAGGATTAGAAAGAGTGCATCCATTTACCATGCAAGTGAGAAAGAGGCAATACCCCATAGCTATGCCACACAGGTCTTCGGGCCATTTGAATTGGCTCTTGCTTTGAGCAATAGAAGTTAGAATAAAATTCTCCAACAAGATCAGGAGAGCCTGCCAGAAAAACAGCAAGCTTCCTGGTGGTGCTTTCAAATTTTTTAGAATCTCATGTGAGGGATAACAGAGTTCGTATGCAGGGATGAAGCCTTAGGACAAGATGAGGAAGTGAGGCTGTAAGGAAGAGCAGGCATTGCACTGTCCTGGAAGTCTTAACAACGGTTGTTCAAGATGAGAGATGCATGAAGGAGGTTTAGTTTTCAGGCTGCCCCATGATTTGGCACTTTTAAGAGATAAAATTCATTCACAATCAAAAGGAAATAAGTTGAGTGAAAACACAGTCCTCTCACAAGAGAGATTTATAGTATAAGGACAAGAATCACCTGTAAACTAGGACTTCAGACACTCTGGTCTGAAAACCCACACTCAGATGATCAGCATGGTGCTCCTGTCTCTCTAAAGCACAGGAAACAAACCAAACACCACCACGGTTTCTCGGGCAGTGGGATTTCCTCCTCCCTCCCCCCCCCAAACCATTCAGGAATTTAAGCCAGAATTTTTACATCAGCTCTAGCTGGAAAACAGACTGTCCCGAGGATATCTGGCAAAGCATCAAGCATGCTAGTTCCCTAGCTACATGGTTGTCAACTTAAGCAGCACACACTTTAACCTTTATGCTTTTCATGGGTAAAGAAGCTTCTTTACACAGCCAAGTCCTGTCTGTTCTCCAGGAAACTCTATACCTTGTCTAAATCAAGCAGCACAGCAGACTGTGAGGCAGATGGCTTCCAGACGAGAACAACCTCCCCACCTGAATCCTGGCCATGGCACTGTAACACAAGCCAGCCAGCCTGTCTGTCCTGGGAGAGACCAACCCAGACATGTAGTCAACAGCTTAACTGCTTCTATCAGCACTAAGGACTTCCCTGGACAAACTATCATCATGTTGTGACAGGTCTGATCAAGGTGATGGAGAAAGGGGGGGAAAAAATCCCACCATCATCCTAACAGAATCATTGAAGAGCTATGCTCACAAAGAATACATGTTATCAGCAACACAGCTGCCAGCAACGTCACTAGGAAATACTGAGTGCTGATTGGAAGCATCAGGAAGATAGAATTAGGAGGAATGCATCCTGGAACTGCTCTGCACACACACACAGCAGCCAATATAACCAGCTGCTAGCTGAGGGTCAGGGTACCTCTGCTAACGGTCTTTGCTTGTTAGCTTCACATCAGGCTAGCACTACACAGTCAGCAAGCTACACCAGCAGGGAAGCAAATGAGAACATTCAGCTCTTCCAGGATATTGTCTATACGTTTGCTCAACTGAAGCAGTTTTTCCAGCATGTCAACGCTTCCCTCCTAATTAAAAAGGCAGATTACACCAACCACACTTCATCCGTCAGCTCATGAGAATCCACTGGGTGACTTCTGACAGCTCTGCCAAGTGTCTTATATCCCTGTACAGCACAGGGACTTGAGGCTCTCTTTCACTAAGTTTGCAGTGTATGAGGAATATAAGAGGCAGTGCTTGCAGTAAGAGGTAATGTCTTTTATTAGACCAAATGATATAGTTGGAAAAAAACTGACAAGCTGTCAGGCACACAAACCTTTCCTCAAGTCTGAAACAGAAGCCATGTAAGGCATTCATGGAAATCCAGCTGTTCCATCATTCACAGATCAATATCTGCTCTAGCTCATCAGTCTTGTTATGCTGCTCGCCTTTACATTCTTCCATTGCTCATCATCATTTAGGCTTTCCTGACTCTCCATAAACATTTGCTGTTACTGCTGCTATCCACACTGCTCCACAGGAACTGGCACGCCAGGCTGCAACAGAAACAGTACTTCTCTTGACAGCATATTCAAGCTCCTTTGTGAGTTTCCTTTCTAGTAGATCATATGGAATATCTCCACTGGGACAGCAATAAACTTCAGAAATACTGAGGAAAAATCTAGATGCATTTGGTCAGATTCATGCAGATCTGAGTAGTTTAAGAAAAGGATGCTTACAAGTTTTTCTTGGTCCAGCTGTTCTTGTAAACTGTATTTCAGTAGGGCTGTTAAAGTTAGCTGTGACAAACGGTCTTTTTGGTCAGGCTATCGCTCTTGATAATCCCTCACAAAGTTATTCTCAGATCAGCAATATGGAACTGTTGGCCAAGTTAGCAAAATGCAGCTTAAGCCAGTCTATATGACTTGGTCAATCTTTCAGGACCAGTTCTGCCACAGCCATTTAACTTTGTTCCTGTAAAGATCATCAAGAGACGGCTAGGAAAAGCTGAAACTTAGGCATAAAGGAGTCTTGTCTCTTAGCTCACCATTTTGAGAATGCTATGCTGTTACAGGGTGCATTCATCTTTTAGTATTAACATGCTCACGAATTCCCTTGTTTTCTCGTTCCTCATTTATTCTCCCACTGCACAATACAAGAGTTCTTATGCTTATAGTGGGGATGATTTTTCCTCTCTTTTAATCCAGTCAAGAGTTGGAACTTCAAGGGACTGGTGCCCTTTGAAAAGCTGAAGCCTAATACACTCATACAGAATACACATTTCTTGTTCACTGCTGGTTGTAGACTGCAGCTGCTTTTCACTGTAATGATATCCCTTGAGCATTGTACTCTTAAGAATCCCTGCAAAAACATCTTCAGATAAAATAAATGCTCATCTTTGAATTTAGCTCTCTGAGGACTTTCTGCCTTTATCATCTCTCTCAAATTAGGAGAGAAACAGTAGCAGTAGAACAGTAACAATTGCCTGGATAATGACGGACAGTACCTATTGCTATACCCCTTGGTCAAAGTCCAGCACAGAGTTTGAACACTTCTCTTCTCTACCCAAAAGAGACCCAGAACAAAAGGCTGCACAACTGCAAGAATATTCCTCCAATGGTATCCAAATCTAGAGAAAAATGAGAGGTAACGTTTTCCAATAACCCCCAAACAAGAAATAGCTTGCCCTACCTGCACAAGTTGATAATTCAGAGCTCCCCACGTTTTAATCTCTTCCAAACAGCTCCATAACACCAATGAGCAGCCCAATTCACACTAACTCCAGCAAGTGATAAAGGTAAGAGACCCGCAAACATAACCCGCGAGGAGAGTCAGAGCCTCAACGCCATTACAGCCATGAGAAGCCAAGCCAACGTAGCAAAGAGTTATACTCTGCCAAGCCCGAAAAAGAGGGCTTGCTTTCATTCTTTCATCCAAGGGCTTTAAGTATACCCCTTTTAAGTATGCTGTATCAGAGATGCAAGCCATTTTTCCACTAAGGAAATAGCTTTACATCATGATCACTTACATTAGTGGAGCAAGTATTAGCAATACAGACATGTCAGAGGGCAGCAGTTGCGACTAAGTCAGATGACTAAAATCCAGAGCATCGTTTGGAATAGTTGTATTCCTAACCCCTTCTTGCTCTTGCAGGCTTATTGAGCTAACATTCTTGTTAAGGAATGTTAGGAGGAAAAGCCTCAGCGGAGTCTTAGTAGGCTTGAAAGCCTATCACAATGGTAAGATAAGAACACATTCTTAGTAAGCCTTAACCTAAATATGATCACCGCTTTATGATGCTAGACGTTTTGTCCTCCAGCACATCAGAACACTTGGTCTATATTTAGTTGTGCCAGCCATGCTAGACCGGTTAGGAGGAGACAATGCATCTTTAGCCAACGTTACTGCGCTGGCACGAGCCAGGGACGCAGCTAACAGCAAGAGTTATTTGCCAGTTAACCGATTCCCCAAATAGAATGACTTCAGCTCTAAAACAACAGAAAGTTTAATGCTCTAATATACACAG